GTGTGAGGTGAGTTGCTCTGGGGGATGTTTGGAAGTTAAAGAGAGAGTTTGGAAAAGCCTCGGCTAATGAGAGGTGAGGTACCGGAAGCGGAAGCCTTGGCGGTGAGAGAGAGAGAAATAGCGTGCGGCGTAGGATAAGGTAGTGTTAAGTTAGCATAAGTTAGGATAAGGAGCGTGTGTGTATGTGATGATTTGTAACCCTGAGGGGCGCAATAAAGTATCTATCTATCTATCTATTAAAGACCGACATCCTAATGCCCATATCAGACTACGGATTAACAATTACTAATGACGATTGCCTGGTTCTATTTCAGCCAATTACGATAGACTCACTACATTGTGATTAGTTGAAGTAGAATCGAGCAACCGTTAATCGTAATCGTCAATTCGTAGTTTGAAACGAACATAACGGGAGTTCACGTCCTTGTTAACATTGAAGTGATTAAGAATACAAAAACTGAAAATATTGTAATAATTTTATGATTACTTAGTTTAATAGACGTGTTTATCAGTGCTCATTCAACACTCAAAATTTTCAGAAATATCTCAGAAATATTTCAACTAAAAAGTGAAACATTTTATAAAAATTGCAACATTTTTAAGACAGCTTTGAAATAACAAAATGTCCACGATTCTTGCACATGAAATCTTGTTGAAAGATTGAAGAAATGTTACATAAAAAATCTTTTTGGAATATTACCAAAAAGTTTTCAGCTATGTTTAGTACTTCAAAAATAATATTTAAATATACACTTGATTGTTACTTAAAAAATATTTGAATTTATTATGTCGACATAATAAATTTAAATATTATTTAAGTATCAATTAAACATATATTCAAATATCATTTCTGAAGTACTTAAAATTTTTTAAAAGTTTTGTAATCTATTAACAGATTGCAAACTTATTGAAATAAACTTAAAGTATTTCTCAAGAATGATAATTATATCACCAACTATATTGATTAGTTAATCATTATTATATGCATAGGCACACATACATAATCACTATTAGAAAGATAAAAGGTCATTTACACCTGCAGTTTCCATACAATATCATTATTCATATACGAAAGGTTCTCATGATTAAAGCAGAAAAAGTCATTCATATACAAAAATTTTTTGCAATTAAAGTAGAACAACTCAAAATAACATCAAATGACATTAAACTGAACCATGATCGATCGAAAAATGACTTTTAGTAATCATTTTGGAACCATCCCGAGGAGAACAAAATCAAAATAATATCAATTTGAAGTCATATTAACCAAATTTACGTCATGATAAAAATATGGTCACGATAAAAATCTTGATCTCAGATAATCTAAGAATGACTTTATAAAGTCACTCTTAGATCATTTCAGATTAAAATTTTTATCGTGACCAAAAATTGATATAAATTCATCAATATGACTTTATTTTGACTTTATTTATTGACATTATTTTGATTTTCTTGTTCTCCTTGGGATTTTAACATCATAGTAATCTTTTTTTGTTCTGTTTAAATATGCTTTCAATTTATTATATATGATCAGGGGCGGATTAAGAGAACTCGTCGCCCTAGGCAGGTGCAAAAGTGCCGCCCCCCCACCATCTTAGTCACCTCGCTTTCTGAGCATATATAAAAGTACATTGTATTTACGGATATATAAAATTGAAGATATAAGATGAGATTAATCGATTTTCATTAATAGACGTCAATAATATTATTCGCAATATATCATTTACTGATTTATTTTAATCTTATTTTTGGCATTGTTTCTATAAATATTTCTTAATATATAAAGGACTAGTTCCATATAATAATATAATGGACTATCGCTTATATTCACATAGATCAATTTTACATGTTCTTACGCCGTGATTTCTTAATTGCAAACTGATGAATTATCTCGTCACAATTTAATGAATTTAAAATTTCCGCCTCTATCGTTAATATAGCCAAGGAATTCAAGCGAGTCTGTCCAATGGTCGATCTCAAATAATTCTTGATCCGCTTTAAACAAGAAAACGATCTCTCACCACTGCAGTTTGTGACAGCCATACAGAGAAACATCCTGTATGCGATGTCAACGTTGGGAAACACCGAGTCAAGATCATTCTTTTTTAAAAACTTAAAAGTTTCAATTGGTGTAAGCTGCTTTAAGTTTTGTTTATCACAATCAAGATAGGCTTTAAAATGGATTAGTTCATCATCTAGTGAACTCTCTAAATCTTTATTAAAAGCGCCTTGTAAAATTTGTACTTTTCCCCGAATATCAGCAATATCCATATTCATGAAATCAATAAGAACAGAGAATTTTTCGTAAATAGTTTCGTATTTTTTACATCTTTCTTGTATGTCAGCTAACAAATTGTCAAAAATGACATTGTATGTGTTCACTTTAAAATTATCTTTTCCGAGCAATGTCACCTCTCCTGTTCTTGTTTCATCGTCATAGATTTTCCTGCGTTTCACTCGACACACTTCTGTTTTGTATTCTTGATTAACTGACAAATCGAATGCCTTCTTTTCAAAATAGTCGAAGTCTTCACGTGCGTCACCCACAGTCTTGATAAGACTTTTATACAATCGAACAACTTCATTCAGGTTAGTTTGCGTAGATTGCAATTTTTTGCTAACAGAATTGAATCTCGAAAGTAAAAAACTCCACAAACATTGCATGAAAGCTGTCTCCAGTAATTCGAAACGATTTCGAATCCCTTTAGCTTCACTGCGTATTGCAGCTTTTTGTGAAACGTCGTGTTCGATGCTATACAAAGCTTGAAGTATTTCAGTATAATACTCAAGAGTACGAACGGCGTCATTACGAGCTGACCAACGTGTTATTGAAAGGGATTTCAAAACAATTCTCTCAGATTTTTTGCAGCAACATTGTAAAACATCCCAACGACTGGTAGATGCACTAAAAAAGTTATATAAACTTTGAAGATCGTTGAAGAAATTAGCAGCCTCTGAGCAATTTTCAACTGCATGAGTGCCAACTAAATTCAGAGAATGGGCAGCACATGGAACATAGTCTGCATATTCGTTACGATTTTTTATTAATTGTTGAAGCCCTGCGTATATCCCTGACATATTTCGCGCTGTATCATACGACTGGCCTCGACAATTTTCAATGTCAATTTGAAGAGTTTTCAAGGTAGAAATTACAGCATCATCCATATCTGCAGCCTTGTGGCCTACATTTTGTAAAAATGTCACAAAGCGCTCTACGGGCGTACCGTCTTTATTTACATATCGCAGCATGAGACACAGTTGATCCACATGTGAAATGTCTGGTGTGGAATCGACAATAATAGAGTAGTATTTCGCATAATGTATTTCTTGAATTATTACATCTAATACCTTACTAGCTAAGATTTAAATGAACTCCTCACAGATCGTTTTTGATAGATAACTGGTACTACCGATACCTTTATTCCCAAACCTAGAGATATGATCTGCTAAAAATGGGTCGAATTCGGCTATCAACTCTAAAACCATCAAGTAATTTCCGTTATGAAGAGAGCCAAACTTTTCATCATGCCCTCTAAAAGGCAATCCACGTGATGCTAAACCTTTAATAACGGCA